AATGGGGGTCACTGTGAGTTGGAATTGACTCAATGGCTATGAGTTTTGTTCTTTGGTTTAATCTTATGCAAGTCATATCACTACAGGGCTACATCTATGATAAGAGGGATCAGAACAAACTAGGGGATTCAGAAAGTCCTTTTGAGTTCCAACATTTTATTCTTTCATTAAGCAATCATTATAGAACATATATAGAGAGCTATGTACCATGCACTGACCCTCGGGCCTTCTAGAGCTAGATCTAGGCCAAATTGGAATGCCAAGTTTGAGTATGGTGATTCTTAAAGTCATTTACTTGCTTTTTTCTGTTTAATCTTTTAGTGACCTTACATCCTCTCTCTTTCTCTTGTTAAACCCTGTTCTCACAAAAGAATTAAAATGTGGTCATATGGAGATATAAATGATTGGCAGCATCTTACAATACTTTCTCTTCCAGAGGGATTTGTCTATGTAGGGATCAAAATTTATAGGTATGAGGCCCTCATGGATAAATTTGAAGAAAAAGCTAGTGGGTGGGAAAATATTTGACAGATATCAGAACTTTGGAAAATGTGGGTGGTGCAAATGGTTAACATTTTGGCTACTAACCAAAAGGGTGGAGGTTTGAGACCAACAAAGGTGCTGCAGAAGAAAGGCCTGGTGATCTACTTCTGAAGAATCAGCATTGAAAGCCCTATGGAGCACAGTTCTACTCTGACACTCATGACATCATCATGAGTTAATGTTGACTTGATGGCCAGTGATTTATCAGACTTTGCTGTTATGGTTCTCTCCCCTTCCCTTGCTCATTTGCCTGGTGAATTCCTACTCATTTTCACAGACCAGTTCTTCCCTGTCACTCCTTCCACATCACTCACAGAGTCAGCTCTTCCTCTGTCATCTGTATTCCCAGAGAACCTTATAAATAGCTCTACTATTACAGTGACCCCATTGCACCGTAGCTTTGTGTTTATAAATCTTCTTCCATATTAGGCCGTGAGCCACTTGAGCATCTTATTTTCCCTGTATTCACAGTATCTTCCCAAGGCTCAACATAGAATCAGTGTCTCACAGGTGGATGACTAACTGAATTGAATTTCAAGAGCCCCTAGCAGGCAGTGAACCCCTCTCTCTGTGGATGCGGCTGTTTCTGAGTCTTTTTACTGACATCCTTTAGAGCAGACAAAATACACATGACTGATCACAGTTGCCTTTGGATTTGTATCTGAATGGGATAGCCCTAGTGTGATGAGTAATGAACACCTATGCCTAAGCTGGTGTTTTTCAGACTGAGGGCAGCAACTCATCATTGGAGAGTGAAGTCAATTTCATGGATTGGGAAGAGTATTTTTTTTAAGTGGAATAGAATAGGATAAAATAGAAGAGTAAAGAATAATATGGCATTAAAAAAGATCAAGTGCTCTACAAGTAATAAAGATAAGTATTATTCCATGAAACTTTTGTTTCAATGTGTGTGTATATGTGCATATGCTTGTGTGCACTAGTCACAATAGTTACAATTTTAAAAAATGTCGAAAGCCACCTTCCTAAACTGCTAGGAGGGAAAGAAGGCTTGCCTCTCTCTGTGACTTCTTACCACATTACTATGTGGATGTGCACTTCTGGAAATGGTCTCTTCTCTTTCCAAACTACATCACCACCACAGCACCCCGAACTGGTAGAATACTTTCTTTAGTGTAGATTTGGGGCTCAGGGGAGTAAGAGAACAAAAATGCTTGTTTTGATCACAAAGAAAACTTTGAAGCTCATACCTGCCCTCTCTTTCCACCCATTGGATTTCTGGAGCCATTTCTGTCCTGGATTCTGAGAAACAAAACTTGTACCTGACAGGTATCTCAACAAATGCTCCCCACCCCCCACCCCCCACTAAGGGGCTGTGCCTCTTCTGGAGTTAGGACATTTGCATGAGCAGTGCCTCCAGATCCCCGTAGCCTGAGGGCTGTTTAATTGTGATTCTTGCCATCCTTCTGGACAGGGTATCTAGCAGCTCCTTGCACATTGGCTCATTTGCTTCCAGGAATGGTGCAGGGTAGGGACTGAGACTGCTTTCACGAGCACTAGTTGTGAAATGTTGGGCAACTTAGCCTCTTTGTGCTTCAGTTTTTCCATCTTTAAAATGGAGGTGGTAACTGTACCTACTTCATGAAATTATTGTAAGGATTAAGTCAGTTAATAACATGCAAAGTACTCAGATCAGCTCCTGCACATAGTAAACAGTCCATTAGTGTTATTGTTATTTAATAACATTTAAGCCTTACAGTTATTATTTTTTCTATATTTGTAGATAGGAGCTCTGGTAGCATAGTGCCTAAGGCACTTGACTGCTAACCAGAAGGCTGGCGGTTCAAACCCACCAGCCACTCCTCGGAAGGAAGGTTGGGCAATCCTACTTCCATAGTAATACTGCCTCGGAAACCCAAGGAGGGGTCTCTATGAGTCGGGGGCGACTTGACGGCAAACAACAACAACAACAACATATTTGTAGATAAGAGAGAAATTACGTAATTTGCCCTATGTCATCTGTTAGCAGAGACTGAGCTAGAACTTACATCCAGATCTCCTGGCTCCAAGTTTGGTGTTCTTTCCCCTAATGATGGCTCACTTATGGGGCCTCAGAATACCTCATGTGCTCAACTTCCACCTAATCAATCTGCCTGGCCAGGCACCCACATAGGGAAGGGGCCCCTTAGGAGAGGTCTGGAGGGTCTGTGAGCCCCAAAGGAAAGTCCCTTCTTGTGATTTTGCTTGTCTTTTGTGGGAGACATATATTTAGGGGATATACATACATGCATACATACACACATACACACACATGTATCTACAAATGTATGTGTGTATGTTGTTGTTGCTGTTAAACCGGTTCTGACTCCCAGGTGACCCCATGTGTGCACAGTAGAACTGCTTCATAGGGTTTAAAAGGCTGTTACCTTTCCAAAGCAGATTGCCAGGTCTTTCTTCCAAGGTCTCTGAGTAGGTTCATATCACCAACCTTTTGGCTAAGAGTTGAGGCACCCAGGGACCTGTCTGTATATACACATATACATAGTACGTGTTTTTAATATGAGAGAGAATCTGAAATGAAGGTCATTGTACTGGTACTGGCCACCCAAAGGCATCCTTTTGAGTTCTGGGCTAACTGAGCAGTGATGAACAGATAGAGTCCTCCTTATGCTCCAATTAAATTTTTAAATAAAAATCTCTCTCAGCAACTGAGTACTACAGTTTGAGATAGGATGGTAATGTAACTTAAGATTTCACAGGCTAAGCAGCTATATTATATGTCCTATTTTTTTTTTCCAGCCTGAGATTTTCCCATCTGTATATTATATGCAAAGGCTCAAGAGCTGTCCCTGCTTTCTCTTCCACTCACAACCCACAGAGGGAACTGAACTTTCATATTCGGCCTCTAGGCTGGCCTGGGGTGGATGGGGTGGGAAATATGTGTGTATATATATATATATATATATATATATATATAAAAACATATATGTATATATATACATATATACATATGTTGTTGTTGTTGTTGTTGTTATGTGCCGTCGAGTCAGCCCCGACTCATAGCGACCCCTCCTTGGGTTTCCGAGGCAGTATCACTACGGAAGTAGGATTGCCCAACCTTCCTTCCGAGGAGGGGCTGGTGGGTTTGAACCGCCAGCCTTCTGGTTAGCATTCAAGTGCTTTAGCCACTATGCTACCAGAGCTCCTATATATATATAGTCATATATAGTCAGTCATATATATATATATGTATGTATATATATAGTCATATATATATGTATGTATATATATATGTGTGTGTGTGTATATATATACATACACACACACACACACACACATATATATATATGACCATAGTGGTGATATTTTAAAAATGTTTAGCATCATGTCAATTAGAGCTCTGTTAATAAGCACATCACCATAAATAAATCCTATAAAAATAGATGTTTGTATGATGATCAGAAGACAATTAGGATTCCGAAGTGCTTTTAAATCATCAATGATATCTTTAGGTGTTTGGTATGGTTTTCCTGGATTTTATTAGAGTGTTTTCTTTTTTCCCTGAAGAATTCAAATCCATTTGGGTTTTATATGGTAATATTGTTAATCAAAGTATTTGATTAAGCTGATTTTTTTGGTAGTTCTCAATAAACTGTCCTGATTCTCAGCCCCTTTCACAGATTTGAGCTGAGCTGGGCTGAGTATGGTACTGCGGAGGAATACTTGGTCCAAGGAATACTTGGGCACTCGTAAAGTGTAAGCAATCCTAAACTGTCCAGGAGGAGCCGTGGGAAGGGTTCCTGAGGCATTCACACAGGATTAGACAACTGGCCCCAGTGCCAGGTTATAAACAGACCATGCAATGCAGATAAAATAAGAACTGACTTCAACATCTGTCCTAAAGCCACACCAAGAACTTTCTGAGGGGGGAAAAAAAAGTCCCATTAATGAAGGTGCCAAGAAGATCTTCATACATTTATACTGTGTAATGCTGATGAAGCTAGGTCTCAAGAGCAGAAAACCATTTAGTGATAGTCCCCACTAAACGAAGAGATGCAAGGTCAAATGGCTTTTGTTTGTCCAGGATGGTGGGCACTTCCAGAGTTGAGGAGTAGGGGACTAGTAGAGTGAATGATAACTACAAATGATCCCAGAGTTTTATTTCACCCAACAGTTTTAACAATAGAAAACATGCAGAAAAACAGGGACTAGGACAATAGCCCTTGGAAAATCAAGAGGACGGTAAGTTGAAAGACCTGAGTGAGATCCACGCATTGTAAAAAGTCCAGTTATCTCTATTCTAAGAGTATGGACCCACCCTGCATTGTTCATACATTCCAGCTTTGCAACAGGAATATCTTCTGGTGTACCTAAGGTTAAAATGCAGATGGACTTTGGTACACCTTCTCTTTGTGCCCTATATTCTATGCCCTGGCTGAAGACACAAACTAGGCCCTCATGCTCTCTTAGACAACTTAGTAAGCATGCCCCCTACTTACCTCAAGGACAATTTCTTTTAGTTGGAATTGTTTTTGCACCACCTTATCTGAAGACACAGGCTCGTGGTAGTAGAGGCAGAGCAAGTCGTATTTCTTCATAATCTGTTTGAAGTTCTTCTCAGTGAGACTAACCACACGGTCTTTCCCATCGTATGTGGGGAAGTTCAGCCCCTCTTCTGCCCTGCAGGAGCACAGCAAGTAGACCCCCACAAGAAATAGTTGAGTTCTCTTCATTTGGGCAAAGTTTGGCTTTTGTTTTCCAGGAGAAAGGACAGAAGACTGTTGGAGGCCTTGCTGAGCCGTGTGGGGAAACAGAGAGAGGTTGGTTTTGTCTCTCTTCTGTGCCCTGCCAGATTCTTCACCTCCTTGAGTCCAGTTAGCTCTGTAATCACGGGCTCAGGACAAAGAGACCAGAGGCTCATGCACACACATGCGTGTGCAGAATAAGAGCCAGGCAGGGGAGGCTGGGAGGCCAAGCCCTAGATAACTTACATAGTTCTGCCCAGCCCCTGTCTCATTAGGAAGTCCATTTTTAGGAGGCAGTTGATTCAGGCTAAAAATAAATCATGCAATGAATAAAAAAGATAGATATGACTCTGTTGAGGGATTCGCTGATACAGTCTGTCAGCATGGAGGAGAGGGCAGAGGCAGGAGGGCAGAGAAGACCATGTGTACAAGGCAACTAAGGAGGCTAGAAAGGTCAGAGAAGAGAAATCCACTGCGAGGGGGGAGGAGAAAATGAGAGGAGAGTGATAAGGGAGCGTGGCACCAATAAGCAAGTGGAGAGGTTACAACATACAAAACGACACTCACACATATTGAACTGTTCAGTTACTCTAGGGAAGTAATACAGCTTGTGCCCACCTTCTCAGCCTATTCATACCCCACATACTCCCAGCTGACGAGAGAACAAAGCATAGCGGCGGTGGACTTTATGCTACCAGGTCGCTGCCATCTCTGCCTCCCGTCCTCTCCTCTGAGAAATCTAGGCCTGGTTGTGCTGCTGTATGATGCACACATGGCTCTGCCAGTCACTGGGCGAGGCATGTGAGGTCACCTTTCCCACCAGCCCCGCACGTACATGGTTCACAGGCTTCAGCCCACCCTGGGCCACAGCTGAACTCTGCTGCGTCCATTCTCACTTAAAAGTTCAACAGTTCTTCTCACAAAACTTCTTTCTTAGGTTTTTTCACTATCATCCTTGTCATATTTCTTTTTTCACATTAACCCTGAATATGGTCATTTTTAAGGAGCCCTGTGCAGTGGTTAAATGCTCGGTTGCTAACCAAAAGTTTTGCAGTTCAAACCTACCAGCAGCTCTGCTAGAGAAAGATGTGACGGTCGTAAAGATTACAGTTTTGGAAATCCTATGGGATTCTACCCAGTTCTACTCTGTCTTACAGGGTCGCTATGAATTGGAATTGACTTGATGGCAACGGGTTTTTTTTTTTTTTTTTTTTTTTTTTGGTGGCTGTCTTTGCCCCTTTTTTCTTCTTTAGTGACAGGCTAGTGTACAAAGTCAGCCAGTTGTTGTTGTTATGTGCCGTCGAGTCAAACCCGACTCATAGCGACCCCTCCTTGGGTTTCCGAGGCAGTATCACTATGGAAGTAGGATTGCCCAACCTTCCTTCCGAGGAGTGGCTGGTGGGTTTGAACCACCAGCCGTCTGGTTAGCAGGCAAGTGTCTTAGCCACTATGCTACCAAAGTCAGCCAGACCAGAGTTCAAATACCTCCTGGAAAGTTACTCACACTCTCAGATTCTAGGTCCCCTCCCTTGTAAGATTTGGATGATATTGCAAGATTTGGAAAATACTGATGGAAAGCATGATGACATAAAGAGGTGTTCAAAAAGAGTAAACCAAAACCAGTTGACACAGGGTCAGTTCTGACTCATAGCAACAGTTTGTGTCACAGTAGCATTGCTCTACCTGGAGTTTTCAATGGCTGAATTTTTAGATTGCCAGGCTTTTCTTCTGAGGCACCTCAGGTTGAATTCAACCTCCAGTCTTTTAGTTAGCAGATGTGAGGGTTAATATTTGCAACATCCAGGCAGTCCTCATAAAAAGTATCTTTTGTAATTACTTCAGTGGTGGGACTTTGCAGGTAATCTGGGCAGAAAGGATGAAGTGCTCATTTACAAGTGAGCACTATCTTCAGAGAGATTTACTAACTTGCCTGAGATTGTTGCAGAGTTACTGCCAACCTAAGGATTCAACTCTGCTTTGAAACCTGGTGCTTCTGATTGTTTTGTCTGTAATTTGGGCAATTTCCCTACAGAGACTCCTTTTCTTAAGTAGCTTCTTGACCATCTCTTCTCGAATGGCCCAGTGATAACTTGGGCCAGTGATAACTTCTGTTTAGAGTGGTTTATGGCATAGAGCCTTGGTGGTGAAACAGTGAAGCTTGTGCTACCAACTGAAAAGTTGGTGAATTCCAACCCACCTAGAGGCTCTGTGGGAAAAAAGACCTGCTGATCTGCTTCCTTAAAGATTACAGCGTTTGACAACAATGGGGCAGTTCTGCTCTGTCGTATGGGATCATTATGAGTTGGAATGAATTCAATGGCACCCAACAATAGCAATGGCTCTCTTAAAGGTATCACAGTGTTGCAAATGTTTAAGTACTCAGCTATTAACTGGAAGGGTAGAGGTTCAAGTCCACCAAGAGACACCTTGGAAGAAAGGCCTGGTGATCTACTTCCAAAAAATTAGTCAGTGAAAACCCTGTGGAGCAAGGTTCTATTTTGACATACACAGGGTTGCCATGAGTTGGAATCAATTTCACTGCAGGTAGTGTTTTTGTTGTTGTTGTTGTTGTTGTTGTTCCCTTTTGATTTAGTAGCACAGTGCCTAAGGCATCTGATTGCTAACCAGAAGGTTGGTGGTTTAAACCCACTAGGCACTCCACAGAAACAAGACTGGGCAATCTACTTCTGTAAAGATTTACCACCTTAGAAACTCAATGGGGGTCACTATGAGTTGGAATGGACTTGATGGCAGTGGGTTTGGTTTTTTGATTTAGAATTGGGGTTGGTGGGTTTTTATTCTCTCTTATGATTCTGGGCAAGTTTTCATCTTCCTTCAATTGGATAATCAGCTTCAGAGACAGAGGGGATTCCCTAGCTCCCAACTTTTGCAGGGGGTAGAAGAAAAAGAGAAATTCAGAGGCCAAAATAAGCAAATAAGGATGCTCTACTGCAGTCATATGGCCGTATCTGAGTCAGGCTCATGAGGAGTTGTTGGGGCTGGAAGCTCTAATGTCTCAGGAGCCCAAGACCACAGAGAACCCATCACAGAAACTCTTGACAGCATTCGGTTCTTTCCAATGGTGGAGTCTCCAAGTTTTTAAAGATACAGCCAAGAATAATGGTTCTGAGGTGTGGTTAGCTTTCCAGGTCATTAGTATGCATTCTAGATCTCCCCTTTCTTTAGAACCTTGGGGAGGGGTGAGATTTCTAAATGAAACAATGTTAAATGTTTTCTTTTGGAGGTCAGCTTCCCATACTGTTTCCAGTTGTCTCAATCTCATTGAATTACCTTTATTTAGAATTTGCTCCACTTTTTTTTTATCATATATAAATTTTTCTTTCTTCTCCACCCCCCCCCCCCTTTTTTACTGTTAGTGAAAAACTGGGAGATATTTAAAGGCAGAGTCTTTGTACTTCCCACTGACTCACAACTGAGGAAAACTACTGGAGCACAAGGATAATTTTAAAAATTTTGGTTTAGTCCTCAAACCTGGCTCATAACCCAAAGTGAATTAATAGAAAAAAGTCCCCATTGTGAAAAGTTCCTGTGTTCCAATCCTGGACTTTATTTGGGGCCTTGTGGCCCAGCTCTGAGGACAGCAGTAACCAAATCAAACCCACCACCATTGAGTTGATTCCAACTCAATTTTTATTATTTTAAGTTGGGTTTCCGAGGCAATAAATTTTTACACAAATAGATTGCCCCATCTTCCTTTTTCAGACCAGCTAATGGGTTTGAACCACCAACCTCTGGTTAGCAGTTAGTAGTAGTTAGGCACTACGTTATCAGAGATCCTTAAGAACAGCACAGCCCCTGCCATGTGCTACAGTAGTCTGGTTCCCTCTGCATCCGCTGGCAGATGCACAGATCCTAATGTGTGTTCCACTTGAGTTGGAGTGAGGTCCACTTTTGTTCCAGGGCCTGCATTTTACGTAGTAGCTTTTTTTTTTTTTTTCTGTTGGCTGCCTTTTATTTTCCCCTTTTTCTTTCTTTCTTTTTTGTTTTGTTTTATTTCACTGCTTACCAATTTTCATTTATTTACAGTAAAACTTGTGAAAGCCATAATCTGTGTAAGGTGGAAACCTGTCAGGGAAGGAAAACTCAAATATTTTCTAATATTTTCCATATATGGAGAGTGATAGAAAAATGGGAAGACTGCATTCTGTCAAAGGTGGAAAACTTCCAAGATCTGTAAAAACAAGGCAGTCCTGTGGCTCTTACAGGTTTCCCTGTATTTCACTCTGGTATCTTATGAGTTGCTGTCTCCTTTCAGTTCTAGCTGCTGCCCAAGCCAGTGTGGCAGCCCCTTCTAATTTATATGATCGTGTGGAGGCATATGTATGTTTTTGTACCTCAATTAGAAGTTTTTAGTTTAGTTTTTTTTTTTTTTTTTGAACAAGAGGAAGAATTAAACAGAATAAACTACTCAGTCCAAATAAGTGTTAATTTTTGTCACAATATATGAGGTAGATCCCTTGTTCTGCTAACAACTTCCAGTGCTTTGCTCTGTGAGTGAGCACAACCTAGAATCAGGCCTTCTAACTGGTTCATTCCAGTTTGACCCCCGCTGATTTTACAGAATCACCTGGGAATCTTGTTAAAATGTAGATTTTGATTCAGTAGATCTGGTGTGGAAATGTAATGAACTGGTTCAAAGCCCTGCCTACCCAAACCCACAGCCATTAAGTCTATTCCACCTCAAAGTGACGCCCATTGGATTTCCGAGGCTAGAAATCTTTACAGAAGTAGATGCCTTCATCTTCCTCCTGCGGAGCAGCTGGTGGGTTTGAACCACTGACCTTCTGATGAGCAGCCAAATCTCTTACCCATTATGCCACCAGAGCTCCTAGAATCCTTTAATCTCATCTGGGAAAAAAAAAGACAACAAAAAACCAAGCACAATTGCCAACAAGTTGATTTCGATTCATGGTGACCCCACATGTACCAGAGTAGAACTCTGCACCATAGGGTTTTCAGTGACTGATTTTTCA